ATGAGACAGTCTTTCTTGCTTTTTACTTTAAAATTCAGTTTGAGGGGCAGGAAGAGTCTCAAGTTGTAAGTGTGAAGATTTTGTGTGGAAAACCAGCTCTTAATTTGTCTAGACTTCAATGCAAAAGTTTTTCTCCTATTGATCTCAAAGAGACCTTGTAGATTGCAATTAGTTGGGCTTTGATGCAGTAAGTTTTTACCTGGGCACTTCAACTTCACTATACCTAATTTCATCACTCCACTCTTTGTACTTTTCAAGAATTGATGGGAATGTAGAGAACCTATGAGATTTATCTGTGATTGGTTTTGTGTCAAAGATGAAAACCCTACGAGCATTGGGCTATGAATCGTGATTTCAAACTTGCCCTCACTGAGACCAATTTTTTATCTGGCTGATTGCACATATTTTTGTCTCTGTTACATGCTCAAACCAATAATAGTTCATGCATTTCGCTGCAAGCAGATGGAGAGAGGAGAGGAGCTGGTAGAAGATATGATAAACTCCAAAGTTAAGATGTGCCAAGGAATTTGTTCCCATTGCCCAGAGTCCTGCAACAGTCTAGGATGAAGAGTACCCCCAATTCAGAGGGTCAGGCATACAAAGGATATCAGAGTTCCAGCTCTTCAACCCCAATCCCTCTTATCCACCATGCTTCCCCAAAAGGCATCTGAGTGGCATGTCCAACCATAAACCTGGTGACCTGGGTCAATAAAATGGGTTGGATGATTTCTATGCCACTCTGGAAGACAGATGACTCTCAAAAATCATTTAGAGAGGTCAAGCAATTACAAAGTATGTTTCTTTAATCACTCTGAAATTACACCTAGACCCTTTTTTGTGGATTTTCATGACTTCTGTGAGGAGGTATTTATCTTGCATTTGCAGAGCACATGTAAGATCATTGCAATTGTCTTCAATCCTTCAAGCAGTTTTAATGTACATCGTACATTCATCACTTAGGTCAGGTCAAAACTTAGCGCTAAAGCAGGGGTTCTTAACCTTTTTGCACCTATGGACCCCCCACATAAAGTATTACCCATGGACTAACCCCCAGTTAGCAGAAACTTTGGAATGCCTGGATTTGTGATTATAAATTATGTTTGTCAGGAGCTACATTCAATTATATATTTAATTTTCCATAGACCCCCTGAACCTACCCCCATGGACCCGAGGTTAAGAACCCTTGCACTAAAGGGTTATGGTAAGATTCATATGTAGAAGGTACTTTTGAAGTGTCCTGGTTCTTTCAAGAGAGAAAGATGAATTGACCTTTAATCATTTTGTCTACACTTGTTGAACTTATAAATTTATCTTTTACAGATTTGAAGGTTGCATTTGCTTTGCTGCTAGTCAGTAGTCATTTACTTGTGCAAAACTATGAAGTATGTCTTAAGAATACTCAAACTGCTGCTCATTAAACACTCTTGAACATGATTCAGCTGTGTTCTTTAGTTTTATAGTTTTATAGCTTTGCCAATATGTTATGAACTTCTATGTAGGTGCCAAGAAATGTTTTGAAAGAGTCCTCAGGAGGCTTTTGGTCCACTCCAGAAGGAAGAGAAGGCTTTTCTTTTTTCTATAATTGTTCAATTTCAAAAGATGATTGTCAGAAGGCAATAAAATTTTGTTTCAATTAGTTTGCTTCATTTTGAAATTTCTGGTCTATGTATACTCGTTGCAAGAAAAAAAAGGAGTAGGGCTGTATTAATCATATTAAAAACGCTTTCATAGAATTGTGGTCAAGTTTGTCAACAATTTCTTGGTTGTAAGGTGGCTCTTCAGAGAGAAAACTTAATAGCCTAAGTGCAAGGGGTGAAGGGCGTAAGTTTTTACTACTGGTACTAGTTGACATTTCCACCGTGGTTTTCTGGTGGACAGAAAAGTGACGTCCTGACTGGTTTGCTTCCTTGACTTAGTTGGTTAAGGTTGCTTTAAAAAAAAAGGCATGCGTTCTGCATGGGGAGTACATCTGAAATACAATGCGATGAGTGTCGAGCCCTGTGGTGAGGTGATAGGTCGGTGACAAAGGTTATGCATTATGTCAAACGGCTCAAACCAGCAAAACTGCCTTGGATAAAATTGCTACCTGGGCTCAACGATGGTGCTAAGGTCTTGAATGGATTCCTCGCCCTAGCCCTCAGGATTTTGGACAAGGTTTCTTCATGAATCGTCATCCTCGGGCTTGAGATTTAGATTTCATTACAAAACTAAGAGTTCCTTTGTGAAGTTCCAGAATATTGTGTTTTTTTTTTCAATTTTATTATTTGGCTTGCGTAAGAGTTGAGAAAGAAAGTGTGACATGCAGACACTCCTCGGTAGGTATATGTACCTTTTGTCCTAAAAAGGAGTATGTACTCTTCATCATGAGGTCAATCAGTAGCCGATGATGGTTCATGTCAATCTGACTATCACTGCTAGTCAAGAGTTAATCGACTAGACCCATTAGTCCAGCAATCGAGTTTTTATCGAACTGCGGAATTAAATTTCTGAGCGTAGCGAATCAAAGATAATATGCCATATGAAGTAGTCCGAGCGGCCACTGGTGTCGCACGGCCCCGATACGTGCGTGGTAGAATCGGGTCGTCATGAATGGAGGGGGCTATGGCAATAGACATGTTTGGGAACAAAAGTCTATGCTGTCAGCTTTCCTTTAGTAGCGATACAGTGTCTAGGGTTATAGGAGGGTGGGGGGTAATCCTTCATATGAAGAGGATTTCCATTCTCAAGTAACATTTTCTTCCTTTTCTCTTTCATTAAGACGTGAAATTATCACGTTTGGGGGTCAGTTTCCTTGTTCGATAGCTTGCAACGACAGCCTCACTTTTAAGGTGACCCTATACCAACGTGGTTCGGAGCGGAGTGTTCTTCCTTCTGAAATTAAATCTCACACTATTCAATTGGTCCAGGTAGATCGGATTGGGCTGGAACGGGTTTTTTCCAGGCGATAGGAGCATTTCCTATGGGCGAGAATGTGAAAGCCACGGTCCAAGAACTTCCTTTCATTACATGGTACGAAGTATCTGGAGAGATTCGCTCCCATTTGTTGTGCGAGGACAAATCAGCGCCAAATTGAAGGGTGTGAGGCTGCACTGTTGTCGAGTGGTCGCACGGGTCGAGCATGGTTGCAACGAGATAATTCAAGTCTAAGATAAAAGGCGCTCAGATGCATTTCGAGTTCATGTTAACGGGTACAGCAGAGGAAAAGAGCAAAGAAAGAGAAGTCCAGTGCCGGAGGGAAGAATGCAACCCCGATTCCCCTTCCTGCATTTGCGTTTTTACACCCTCGGCATGCTTTCTGGAATCTGAAGGAAAGCAGACAGCATGGGCGTTTCCTTATCTCTGCTTGTCTTCGCGATGCCTTATGCGAAGGGGCCTTCCATTCAGGTCGACCTGATTCCCTGCACGTATTGCGACCATGCGGGACACCATCAACTAGAAACTGTACAAAGGCATTCCTTTCCGTCTCCTCACTTCTTTCTTCCTTATTCTGAGAGCACTGTCTTCCTTCTCGTGTTTTCCTGGCCATGTGGTCGTGCAATAGAGATTGCCAGGTCATAATTTCATCGGATTCCAGTCGTAAAGCATCCTTTTTTCCCTTTTGAAAAAAGAACCAGACAAACGGTGCTCTATGCGGGGATATTGGAAGAGAAAAAAGGATTCAGAGGGAGGTTTGGGAGCCATTAAAAATTCAATGAATTCCAATTAAATTTTTTCTTTAAATCCTTGTTTCATTGCGTTTACCAGAAATGACGCTCCACGTTTGACTGCTTGTAATGTTTTATCCCAATAATTTATTGAATTTTATTGAATACCCTTCAATAATTTTTATGTACTTATTATTGTGCATTTATTACGTACTTTTAGTTAATTTTGTGATCCTGCACTAAAATGGCGTTCTACCATCGAGGAAAAAGTGAAACCAGTTGCATGAGCTATAACCAATCGTAGTACCAGGGTGGACGCTCGCAAATACTGAACTTTTGACGAGAAACCCGCCACATCCTAAACTCATAGGCGTTGGGAGACAATTTGCTTCTCACTTTTTTTTTTTTTTTTTACCTAAGAGGGAAAGCGAAAGAGGTATTTTTTCTATCCCTCATGTTACCACAGGCTATTGGCCACTTAACTTCCTCCGACTTTTTTCCCTTCTATTTTAAATGCAGGATCACCATTTATAACTAAAGAGAGAACGTATTACACATTGAATATGCTAATAAACGAATTCCTGGTTTCTTGTAAAATCCCAGAAAATGAATCTGTGAGATACGTTCCATCAAGATTTTCAGAGGCACGACTGAAGTACTAGTGCAGTGCGACGTAAAGAAAGAAGCAATAATTGCGAATGAGAAGAGGCACTTCGATTCAACACCCACTCGGCAGCAATAGAAGGCACTTGAATACATGAGTTTTTAGTGCCGCCTGTCTCAGGGTCTCTCTGAAACAAATTCAGCGGCTGCGGAAAAATGCCATAGAGGTCGCTGGCAGAAAACCCAAAATGTTACTTCTACTCTAAATGAACCAAACGACGAGCATCACAAGATGGCGAAATGATGTTTCGGTGCTTGTATCCAGGAGAGAAATTAGCTGCGTCACTGGGATGGAGACACGTATGATGACTACATGTACATCTTGGGGTTGAACTGGTTAAGGAGAATATAAGGTGGCAAGTCTTACTTGTGACTGCCAGCTAACTCGCAACGCCCACTTGCCGGAAGATTCCGGTTTTGTCTTTTCCCACTCCCGACAATTTAGGAAGGGAAGGATGAACGTGTAAAAGGTTTTGAATAAATATGAAAAAGCAAGTTTTCTGGCTAGTTTTGTGCTCTTGCTAACCAATACGTGGCAGTTATTCTTTTTCATTCCTCCCCCCCCCCCATGTGTATGAGTGTTTTGAGTCACTTAGGGAATAATTTTTTATTATTTATTACTAAGTAGTTCCCTCAAATTTTAATATTTTTCGAACGAAAATTTTCATCTTGGCCACAATGGAAACACCAAGGTATTGGGAAAGAGCATATTTATTTTCAAACAGGTCACTTGAGTACACCACAGAGCTAGGTTACCGTACCAAGAGATAAAGAGATTGTATAAGAAATCCAACCCAGTCACTAGGCTTCTGCCACAAATATAAGCATCCAATCGTTACCTGACGCTAATGTAGGCCTGACATACTGTAAATGCTTGTCAATTCTTGAAATTCCAAGGAAAACCTTGATGAATGAGTCTTTAAGAATATCAATGCAATGATGGAATGCATACTCAGTACAAATGGCATCACTTACTTCATGAGACCCTTTCATACAAACCTGAGATAGAATGTTGCAGTGGCGTTAAAAAATAGCCGATGAACAAAATCAACAAGGATGTCATTTTGCTTCAGGAAAATGAAAAATTTTCAGCAGAAATGTTTGTCCTGATATACCTGGCAGTGAACAGGCTTTACGATGCAATATATGCCTATGTAAGAACATGAATCTGTCTGAAGCCTAGAAGAATAAAAAATATGCAGATGAAGGGTAAATCTGGCCTTTACAGGAATAATTTGACATAACAGAAAAACTACCATAACTTTGTCTCCAAAGGAAAGGTATGGCTGAAATTGATCTTCAAGTCGAGCCTACATATTGCGCAGGGCTAGAGAAACAAACCAAAGACTGCGATGCTGATGGAATAAGATTCTCTTGAGAAAGCAAACAAGCAGGCAATTTACAATGAGATGAAGGAACACTGTGATGAATATGAAAAAGCATGAATGGGGAGGCAGACAGTACAAATGTCACCTGACAAGATGAGGGTCAGGCATTTCATAGATGACAAAGAATATAGGGATGCGGCAGGAGACAACATCCCCTGGGTGCTGTCAGGCAACTGCCTTCAGCTCCTCTGGCAATTCACTCTTGGGATGCTTGTTTTCAAAATGCTGCTTGTAAGTCTTGGGATCTGGCATTTGGGCCTGTAAAAAAAGAAAGACTCAAATATTCTTTATTCCATACTGCATAGTGTCTAGGATGGTGAAAGTCATAGAATATGGTAAAACTCAATATGTTTCAATGGTAAAGAATGAATCCATTTTCTAATATCAGATTGCCCTTGGGGTTCAAAGTGGTGTCTGGTATATAAATTGCTATACAATGCTCATGAGGATAAAATCTCTTCGCACACTATTCTGGGGTCCTCCGGCAACCAGTGCTTGTTCTGCACACTAGATATTCCCAAAAAGACAAGATTGTTGCACCCTTTACCTGAATTGCTTCACAACTATCACTTCCACTGTCTCTGAAGGCTAAATGCACTACGAAATCTACTCTTCAGGTTCTCATGATCTTCTGATTCATGTAAAAGATAATGACCATATGTCCTTGCACAACTTTAGATACATGATAGATGTGACTGAGCATATCCCTTGATATGATCAATCCATAGATGAATCAGAAGTTAATTCATTTCCCTGGGTAGAAAAAGCCAAATGGGCTGCATCTTGTGACAGCATCACTCATTTTGAGCCTCCTGCAGATATAAAATTTTCATGCCACAAATAAATAAGAGTGGAGGAATATGAAATTGCCAATTTGGATAGTCCAGATAATTTTATAATCATATTTAAAAAATGTATTGTTGAAGGGATTGCCAGAATTAAGTAATAAAAACTACTTATTCCTCTGCTGCTTTCAACTGAAAGGTACCAAAGGCTACAGATGCCAATCACTGGTTTAGACAAAGCAGGTTTATTTCCTCATTTACTGAACACCTTACTGAATACAGTGAAAACTCAACTCAAACTTTTAGGGACTGGGCAAATCGTTTCGAGTTATCAGGAATCGCCCCCCCCTCCTCCCAAAAAAAAAAAAACAAGTCAAGGGACATAGAGGACAGAATGGCTCAAAGTGAGAGCGATAGATTGACAGAGCGAATGTTGGAGGCTTTTTTATAGCAGAAGCTTTTCAGTTTTAATCCTTAGGTTTTATCCTCTCCACAGGCATTTGTGTGGGAGGAGGGAGAAGCAAGAAAAGAAACAAAAGAGCATCCTACCAAACGGGTTTCTTGTCATTCATTCTATTCAAAAATCGAAAAGTCCCACAAGAAGAATTCCCCCCCCCCCCTTCTCACCCTGAATTCGAGTTAACCATGGGCAAATCGTTATAGGGAGTGAAAATTTCATTCGAGATATCCGGAAATTCGAGATAAGCAAATTCAAGTTAAACGGAGCTTTTAACATGGTGTTCTATGGGGTTCTGCCAGGACCAAGCATTGAACTTTGAGATAAGTGGAATTTCGACTTATCAGGATTCAAGTTAACGAGTTTTCACTGTACTTTATTGGCAAGGATGAATACAAAAGAGAAAATTTATTAATGGTCTCCTCAAAACTATCAGTACTTGAAGAATGACATCATTGTAAGTGACAATAGCTTCATCTTTACTTTTAAGAAGGTAGTTTGGGAATATTACTAATTTTACCATATTTCTTTTCATCCCTTTGGTCATCAGTCTACTTTATCAATATCCATACATGGACTTTCTAGCATAGAAAATGTCTTCTCAGAAAGTTTTCAAAATTAAAAATGTTCATTGTGTGCTAAGTATTGATATTACTACAACTGGTCTCATGTGGGCAGAAGCAATTATGATTTCTGCTGTTACTTATAATTTATTGTGTTTTATGGATTCAACTAACTTTAATAAAGTTAAAGTTCAAGATAAAGTTCATTTTCAAGTTTGCTATAATTGCAACTTTGCAATTATACAGAGGCATGTTCATATATCAGGTTACTTTTATGTGCCAACTTCTTGGATTGCTTCAAGAGGGTTTACAGAGGAATTCTGAAGATGAACAGATATAATAAAATAAAGAAAATTCACCAAAAATAACCATACATTCATCACTTATACTTATATTCTTAAGCCTAATAAATTAGGAAAGACTGTAACTCCTCACTTTACACATGGAGCAGATGAAGGTGAGTGCTTTGGCAGCAGCTTTCTTCTGGTCAGTTGCACTGTGTCCCTGCTGCTTCTTGAGTTTTGCTTGCTTTTCTGCAGCTTTCTGCTGGGACTGAATCTTCTGCTGCCCACGAGCCATGATACACCCACACCTAGGCTTTTCTGATGTGACTGTACCCAGAAGGCTTTTGAAGTCACTTTTACACAGCCTTTAGGTGAATGAACTTCCTTTTGTAGATCTTATCAGTCCAATTGAGTAATTTCCTCACATGAAACCAACCTGGAGTAATACATTTGATAGAATGCTAATATTACAACCATTTTAAAATAGAATCTAGGATGCTCATAGAGAAAGCTTGCATTTTAAGGTTAGCAGGTTCATAATGCTATTTATCTGCTGCATTGATTTGATAATGATTTTATAATAATTCTTGCTGACTTCAGCAGGAATTGAATTCCTCTAAGAAGTCATGTCATATCTTCAAAACATAAGAATAAAAAAATAATGTAATTGAAAAAAAGCATTTTCCATGAGGTGCAATATCATTAGTGTATATACTCTCCCTCTCCCTCCCTCTGCTTCTATTACTAAGCAAGAACCATTATACAGGGTCCCCACAAAATGACTACCTAAGGGTGAATTTTTTATTATTGACAATGAAGTAGCTACATTTGTAGAATGACAACTTACCGACCTCAGAATAGTGTCAGACCTGTCACTTTGTAATGGCCAAGAAATAATTTCCCAGATCTGGTGCTTTATGATTTGAATGGAAAAGAAATGGAGACTAAACTTCAAATAAGATTTAGTCCTTTGACCTCATTACACCAGCTTCTGGTAATCACCATGGTACTGATTGAATAATGGAGTATTTTGGGAATTCAAAATCATAACAATGAAGACAAATGTTAGAATGTGTCAACTGCCAATCTCCAAATATTTATGAGCCAAGGCATTCCCTTAGTCAGAAAAATCAGCGAGAATTCTGCCACTCATCTGGTACAAAGCAGGCGAGATAATAACTTTGAAGTTGTTCAGATCTGTTGGGTTATCTTTGTAAACAATGCTTTTCTCTAACTTGTTTCAAACTGCTGTACTCCAAATTTCTGAACTTGCAATTAAAACAAGGACCTGGCAAATTAATTCTCAGGCCACACCAGAGTAGAGGAATGAAAGGTGTGACACCATTCTGAGGTCTATCAATAAACAGGCAACAAAAATATAAAAGGGAAAAGAGTTGCCCATAGGTAGTCACTTTATGGACACCCTGTACTTGCAAGTCATATTTAGTCCTTTGAAATTCCATTATACCCATTTCCCATTGTCAAAATCTCACACTATCACCAAAGATTCCATGAGACTCATCCCAAATTATTCTGCCCTTCAGAATGATACTACTCAGAGTGGGGGTCAAACTCTTCTCTAACTATGCAGAATCAAGAAACCATGGAATAAGTTTCATTTCCAATTTATGCATAGGCTCATGATGAGAAACTGCATTTTGCCAACTGCCATTAAAAACCTCTTTTCATTTCTTCACCAGTGCACAGTGATGCATTTTGGATTTTGTAGACAATCCTGCCAAAAAGCATAAATATGAAGGATGTTGTACTGAGCCAATTTAAAAAAAATGTGTTGTGGATATATCATAGATTATTATAATCTTAATGGTCTTCCATGTATTTAGTTTCTTAAGGAGTTTTAAGGGTTTTCATTTGAGTGAATCAAGCTTTTTTTTTTCTTTAGCACAAAAAAAAATGGATAAAAAATTCAGCCATCGCTAGTGTTTCCATATCAACACTGGAGAGTTTTTATCCAGAAATTAGTGAAGACAGTCTCTTCCTGTTCAGATATTGAATGAATGGGAAAATTTCTGCCTATTTTATCTGTGTGTAACTTTAATATCTAAGGAATTCATGTATTCTCTGGTTTACCAAACTTCCAGTATGATGCACAAAATTGTTGAGGTAATATGGTCAAATGGTTTATACATCTGGAAAGCACAACATATCAGCTCTTCATTTCATGAAAAACCTGCCTTTACCTGCTGCCATACTCAGAGTGATGCCTTATTGACGACTCTACCTCATAAAATTGTCAGATTTATTTTTGCAGACTGTATATTCCCAATGAAGAGTAGTTCCAGCAGATGTGGAATTACCCTTTTCCCATGAGTGATCCACTGCAGCCAAAGGCAATGATGGACTATGTTTTCTGGAAAGTATGAACTGCAATAGGATTGCCCAGATGGCCCAATAAATGATCTTTTAGCCACCATGAGAAACCTTACGATTCAGATGGGTTTACACTGGGAAAGGGCTGGAAGGACCTTGTTCAATTTTTTAAAATCCTAATCAAACTTAGCTGCTAACTATAGTCAAATTCCCAGGGATTGTGACTGATCTTTTGAGAAGGAGGAGTGCTTCTAGGTCACAAGGTCTTCCCACTCCTCTCCAAGCACACAGAGGGAGACCTCTGAAGTAACTTCCTAACTTCAGTGAGTTGTCCAAGACTCTGCTTGTCAAGAAAATCAAGGACAGCTGTGACCAAGAAGCCCTAGTGCTTGCTACTACTCACTTCCTAGGAAGACATGTTCTCCCATGCTCCAGTATTCCGATCAGATATTTTGGTGCATTCTCCAAACCCTTGTGGCATTGCCGTCAATGAGAAGGGGTCTCCTTGTTTCAATGTCCTCAAACTCTCTTGTTGCCATGGCACCTCCAATATGTAGAGCACACAGAAACTGGAAGTCAACACCATACTCAACTCCCATACATGTTCACAAGTGCAAGGAGACTAGTTACACAGGTCATTCCATGAAGGCCCCCAAAGTGTGATATGATCTTACAGTCCCATCTTGCCATTACAGGTCTAGCCAGAAATGAAGAATGAGCCTTTCCTTGATAGGGTTGCAAATGCTGAAAAATTAATGAGTTTGATGATGAGAGCATATTTTTGGTGTGGGCTAATGCATATTTGGTGATACCAGCACCTGTAATGGTGCAATCATATTTGATTAAATAAAAAATAAAAATTTGGTGACCGACTCCAATTTGGTGTAAATTCATTGTGATCTGGCTGTGTCAGAGGCAATATTTCTGCAGGTTGAAAATATTTGGCAACAAGTTCATTATTATTGGTGGGTGAATAAATATCTTTCTTAGAAAAGTTCTATCCATCACTCTCAAAACTTTGGGAGATATAATTGGAAAGTTCCTATGCTTAATGGCATTTTTTTTGTACTTGACTGTATTTCATGGCTCTATTCCATTTGATAATATTCTTTAGTTATTTCATAAATTTCTTCTAAGAAATGTGAAAATTTTAATTGTCCTTTCAGAGCCAAAATTTCAAGGACTCCAATAATTACTTCCAGGAGCACATTTTCTTCTATATTTCATAGTTTCCATTACATTACCAGTACAGTCAACATTCAATATACAACCACTGGCCTTTGCTTATTTTGTCACTATATGAAGTGTGGCACTAAATCAAAATGCATGGCTTTAAGTTTACATAAAATATGCAACAAATTTCACTTTAATTAATCCATGCTGCTAATGGTCTGGTCCATACCTCAGAATACACCAACTACACAGCTTTGAAAAATTATTAAATCCAAATACTTCTTATTTTTAATTAGTATAACTCCTATGCACCATCTTCTCACATTATTGTTCCAATAACAATGAAAAATTGTTAGCAAAGTTTTGCTTTCCACATTTGCCACATTTGTTACACTTCTAATGGCACACTTCCAATTTTTCCTTAGCACTTAAAACCGTCCTTTCCCCCATCACTAGATTGTGAACAAACTTGAATTGTTGTCTGGAGAAGCTGCATATATTCTTAATGAGAAATTTCCATTCTCCAAAAGAAGAGACAGGATTAGGCAACCCTATATGCCCCTCTCTAATCCCTGGAGGCCCATTCTAACATTACGTCATCCCTTACAATCTTGATATCTATCATACAACCAAAAGGAGCAACTGGCAGCATTACAGCAGAAAAGATCAAATTAAATTTAAAAAATGGAATGTACAAATATAACATCAGTGACCACACCTCGTGTTTAGCTGCAAGTTCATTCTTGTATGGCAAGGGCTAGGGTCCCATAAAGAGGGGGATTCCTCCTCCAGAGGCAAGCTACAGTGAACAGAATAAGCTGGTAGAATATAGGCTTTGGGAAGTTTAAATATCTTGCAATATTAAGATGCATCTACATTAAGCAGTTAGCTACCAGGTGTGATCATGGTAGCATATATCACTGAAAAATGACATGCCTCAGAACATAAATTAAATTGGAGTATGTTCATAAAGGCATATGTCAACGAACTCTGCTATTCAAAAGTTTAGCATAAGACAGAGGTGGCCAAGCTTCCTGACCTTACAAGCCAAATAACAAAACCTTCATATGGCCAAGAGCCACAAGACACACCACTTTACACATGCTTTCTCTAGCACCAACACTCCAATCTTACACCATTGCTCTTCACCTTGTATTTCACTGTGAACCACACTTGAATTGCTCAGGAGCTGCAGTTTGGTCACCCCTGGCATAAAGGAACCGTTTCCTCAATAATTGTTTATCAAGGTACATTCACATTTGCCAATATATAGTCAATCTGAAAGAGTCAATGAATTGCAAAGACCATTCATGCATAAGAAATTATTCACTTAGAAAGTTTTAAGCAAATAACCACAAGGATATCAAAATTCGTATGCTTTTCCTATAAAATATAATTTGGTACTTAGTCAGAGACACCTTTCCTTGAGGGCCTCAATGACTCTGGATTAGGTATCAATAATTTATCACAACTTGATCCTTGTGACGCACTCATGAAATGTCTGATGATAATATAAGGTGCATGAATGGTTTTTGTGACTCCCAGAGTATCTCAGATCTGCTCCAGCAGAAGTTGAGTGGCTCCAACTGATTCCAGCAGGGATTCCCAACCAAGGTCAATGAGAAAAAAAAGAGATGTCAATTTCCAAGGGGAAGTTGCAGTTTTTAGCTGAGTCAATGAACTCTAGTACAATTTGTGCTTCTGAAAACCTCATGCACTCTTCAGGCCAGAAATCACAAATAAAATATGCAGTGAGAAACTGGTGCAATCATAGCTTTTGAGTAGTAAGTGGGTCAAGGGCCTGAAGCAACTACCTAACCCACCCTGACTCAAGATTGAAGTCCAGAGTCAATTATGAGACATTTTAATATGCAGACTCATTAGGATTTTGCACCCAAGTTGAACAGTATCCACAGCACAGGTTGATCATAGTAGAATTCCACCTTACAGGCCCAGGATCACATCCATGGATGCTTTTGATATTTCCCCCTCCCCTGCTTTTGTTCAGACCAACTTCATGCTTATAATGTGGAAAAGTAACCTATGCTTGTGTTGAGAAATTGTGATTCAAATGTATTTGATAAGTATCACAGTTGATGGCTGTGATGATTTAAAATACCACCTGATAAATGATATAGACTTCCAAAATCAGTACTTTCCTCACTTATTCAATTAAATCACAAGGAGGAAGTCCAAGTGGTCTGAATATCTAGGTATAGGGCTTGTTAGCCTTGTTTTGAATTGAAAAAAATTTCAAATTAGAATTGTGGGAGGAAAGAAAAGCATAGTTACTCTCAAGTATCACCTTATAACACTGAGCACTCCCTGCATAAAAAGTTCACCACTCACTAAATTCACTACTCAATTATCTCAATTATGCTAGATTGTTTTCAGGCAAACAGAAGCTATGACCAACAGGAGTAAACACAAATAATTTAGAAATTGGGTAAGTGAGGCAAATTCAATCCCCCCTAAAGTTTTTGCGCCTTAAGCCCTTCGCCTACTTTTTGAACTCTGTGGTTTAGGGAACCACACCATATGAGAGAAAAATGTATTGTCCATTCATGTTATGGGGCCGGTCATTGACTAAAAAGGCAAATTGGATTTCTCGTTACCTTGAATTACATGATATGGGTGTGGACTTTATAGCTGGATCGGACTTCGTCGCACTTGTCGTTACCACCGGGGATGGACCTACGTCTTACCCTAGGCCTACCGTTAGATCTATGTCCTGAGATAAGCGTAGGCTTGGGGTCCTATTTTGGGCCGTAGGCCTAGGCCAAGCACCAACGTAATAACGTAACCAACTGGTTGAATGACACGTTCTTGAAATGCCCGTCGAGTGATAAAGGGAGCTGCAGGGATTCAAGACCTACTCTACCGTGGCTGGCTACACGAATGCGCCATGCTACGATTTACTGCTAACCTGACTCGTCAGACAGGTTACAGTTAGAAGAGCGAAGCCATGTGGACTCCTTAGACACCGGCAAGCAATGCTGACGTACGAGGCTGTCGGGTGCGTTCTTCCAATTGGGGTCAAAACCGGAAAAGCGGAGGAATATCTTGGCAGCGGTTTCCGAATTCCTAAGTAGTTAACTATGCATAGTTCACTTTTTAAATTTTTTTTTATTCATGATCATTGTTGAAATTAAGCAGTGCTTGAGGTGGATCGAGCAGAACTTGAGCCCGAATCTGAAGAATTTGTTGGAGGAAGAACATTAGGAGAAAATCTTCCTGTGATGTTTCCGGGTGGATCGTAGAGAGCCACGACATAGCACGATTTTCCGTCTTTTGTCAATGCACTCCCCACTCCCAAAAGCTCAGATTCTTTCCAAATCACTTGAGTTGCACTCCCTATCGTAGGATACGAAAAGGAGTCATATCAATTGGAGTTCAGCCCATTCTAATGGTTGTTCCGCTACTTTCTGTAACGCACTTGTGCTGAGAGGATTCCTTTCAGGGTTTTGGAAATTGAAGGAAGAAATCCTGTTATACCAGAAGTCCACGATGTCCTTTGGAATGATGGGACAGCCAGGGGCGGAGCTCTTGAGTTTAAACAAATTCACACCTAACTTCTCTCGTGGGCGGTGCCTCATCCCTTGATCTTCTTCCGCCAACTTTTCTGCCCATTCTTGACTATGCCTGCTCAACTGAACGGTATCAAGTTGAACAGGAGCAGGACATGACAACAGGGCATCAAGAAGGAGATGTTCTCTTCTCTTACCTCCCTGTCCAAACGAAGGGGAGGTGATCCGTGATTCCTCCTATGGATGTTGTGCTGTTCTAACATTCCACTCTCGAAATCCGGTTCTCGACCTAGAAAATATCGAAAGTCTGCCCATATGCGCATTTCACTTGGGCTGATAGAGCGACTGGGAATGGTCTCACAAACGACTTTGCCCCCAGTTTGAGAGAGGGGTCGGGGTACGCAGTAAGTGTAATATCCGCTGAAATTCCCAGGTGGATCATAATTGCAGACGACGTACCACGTCTGCCCATCATTGGCCTGGGCTCTTCCCACCCCCATTCGACGGCTTCTTGTCCACACCAACTGCGTGAAGTGCCCTACTTGCAACGAAAACCTGTGCTATTGCCCTTTCTTCCTGCGTCCTCACTCCTCGATGGAAACAGAGATATGACAGACCCGTTTCGTCCGTCCCGCTTTGTCCAAAATCGAAGAGTTCGATTTCATTGTACCAGGCATCGACGACATCTCTGGCCTCGACAGGATCTCCTTCCGTCGACCAATACGAGTAGAGGTTTTCCCCGTATTCTCTTCCATCCTTACGACCCACATCCTTTCGATGCATCATGCCTTGATTCAAGTTCGCCAGATGCTTTGCCCATGTCTGACTGTATTCGTTTATCTAAGAATCATCAAGGAAAACATTTTTCTAGCGCATTGGGTATCTGATAAAAAAAAAAGGATGACAGACCAGGGGTTTGGTCCTCGTCTTTGCTAAACTCTGGTCTGAATATGGTCTAAATCTGGACTAAATTTATATTTATCTTAACCCTTTCCCTGGCAGGGATATCCGAACACTTCGAGGATGTCGACCTAATAATGGGACGACGCCAGGGAAAGGGTTAAGCAACTTATAAATCTAAATCAAGTCCTACACATCTGCATTTCTTGCATCACAGGTGACCATCACATCACATCACACAAGGAATGCTCAAGATTTAGCCAAAGTCTAAATCGCCTAAGTTGCTCGCTTCTCCTTTTTGGACGGATTTTAGAATAGATCATAATTAAGACTTAGATGCTGCACGAGTGAGGAACACAGTAGTTAAGGACATCATTGGACTAGATCGAGAGTTAAATATAAATTCTGCAAAGGTGAGGGAAAAAACCGATAGACAACCGATAGAAAACTGATAGACAGACCTCTTCGTGAAGGCAGAGTGGGGCAGAGCCATGCAATGCCCGGTATTCGTTGTGATACCGCAGGACCTCTTCAGCGAAGGTCACTTCTGACTCTGAGGACATGGCAGCAGGCAATTTTTCTTAGGCTTCCAACACCCCCATTGTTGCACATGGGTCGTGAGACGAAGTCCCATTTTCGAGTGCGAGAAGGAATTCCCGTCCCGAGATGATGGGAACCTCGCGAATGTCTGCGCGTGATGAATAGAGAGAGGCCCCTTGCGTGCTCTATTGACTGAGCCGTCTATTGATCCACGTTACCCAGGCTTTCATAATTTATCGTATCGGTCCTATCCGTGGTCATATCAGATATCAGTCTAGTACAGGGGTCGAGAACCTATGGCTCATGAGCCAAATTTGGCTCACGAACCGAAAGTTTGACTCATTGAGTCATGGCTGGAAATCATAGTTCTTCCTCCTGTTTCTCATGTATCAAAGAATGCATATATCTGTTACCAACTTCAGGAAAAAGTCTGTTCTGAAAATCTTTCTCTCACAAGCACTTACCTCGATCTCAATATGGCTCATGGGCAAAAAGGTTCCCGACCCCTGGTCTAGTAGCATGTAGCATCTCGTAGGACTTGGGGGTTTCTTCTTTTTTTTCTTACGGGAAGAAAGACAATGCTGTATTGATATGCATTTCGTCATCCCAGAGAGAATAACAGGGTCATTCTAAATCAAAACAATGACATCAAGGGTCCAAAGAATCTAACTTGATATGTGGTTTCTTCGTTTCCGACCTATCAGACATCTCTCCTCTCTTGCTTTTTTTTATATCTTCTTTACCTGTCGACATCGGTTGTTGCTATGCAGCACGTGATGAAATAAAATTCTCAATTTTAATTCCAACAGCCAAAATTATGCTTGACCATCTCAAAAAAAATCAATTAAAAAATCATGACAGTACGAGTCCATCTGTGTACGGTAAAACTTTATGCAGGATTTTATGGTCACAGAATTTCAAAGTTTACCATATTTTCGAATTTGTGATTCCAAAATGTTCCCTAGGAGAATCTTGGAAACTACACCCAAATTTGGGTTATTGTTAACCAGAGTAGGATCTACAAATGAGCCAAGTTGCAACTCGTTCGATGGAATTCCCAATTCGCAACTCTGAGTTAAGAAAAGTAGGTAACATCCTTGGTAACAGGCCCTGCATTTGAATTTTCATTTATTCAAAACTCTAAGCAAAATATATTTGAAAAGCTCTGAATGTGTGTTTAGGAACGCTAAGAGATTAGAATTGATTCCATTAACGATGTTTTGATCAAAAATTGTTTTCCCTCAAATGATACTCCTCCAGGTGGTCCAGGAAAAAGTGTTCCCCAATTTACGTGGATGTAGACTGAATACCACATGAGATATGGGCGGTGGATGCACAGGATATTACGCGCATGTGCGAGTTAGGAGGTTCAATGAAATTTTCAACGAAATGGATCATTCAAAACCCAAGTAGCATATGTTCTTCCACGCCATGCGAAAAGAGCGAATGCGGCAGTCTGCGCCTGAGCAAGGGGCGGGGTCCGACGGTTCGCGGAGGATGCAGCCAGGTCAAATATGTCAACGCACTCATTCGTTTCACTTCGAGAGGAAGAAAAACTATTACTCAGATTATTGATCATCGATTTCATTTAAATGTTCGTTATACCACCTACGCTCATTGGATGTGTGACCTAAACTTCCTGTAATTTTTAAAATCACAATTTCGAGATGCTCAGTCACAATTTTGGTTGCCCTAAGATGGAATGACACACAGTCACTTTCGTGTACATTCTGTGACGAGCGCAGACCGTAAGTCCATGGAGCTCTTATTTTGATATTAATCTAGCCGAAATCTTGCATTCTGGTTCGCTCTCTGTGCCTAGAGAAATTCTCACCCAACACTGCATCATTGGTGACATAATCTTGGTCCTAACAGGCCTCACAGATGTGATTTGAACAAAAATATCGTAAAATCAACGTTTTCAATAGGGAATCTCCAATTCCAGCATCACCGATCCCCCCCCCCCTCCTTGAAACAGCTGAAGTCGCATACTTCATACGTGTACATGTTTAAAATCGTGTTATCTGTGCTCGCGTGGGATGTTCCAGCTGTTTCACAAGAAGCCATGCTTCGCACTAAAGTTCGATGTAGGCCTACCAAGGTCAATAAAAATGTGCTTTTTCAAAAATTCAGAAATGATTGGGCATCCACCGAAGAAGTGGAGGGAAGCGACTTTCGCTTATGATTCTCATTTGTTTCAGTCAGCAGGAACATCAGATTCGTTGAATTCGTCGTTCCCAACAGCCTTTCTCACGGAAACTTTTCATGGATAGTAGCATTGAAAGTCAAGTGAGTCTTGTCATTAAGTCTAATCAAGTGTTTGTCTCTCCAGGCAGATTGACTTACCCTCAACCTGAATATCTCAGGAAAGGCTAAAATACAAATTTATTTAATTGAATCTGAGACCGATGCAGAGCTATTATGAGGAAATCACCTTTATTAGAGAAGGAATGAGCAAGTAATGGGGGGGGGGGGGGGAAAAAAAAGCAGATGATAACCAGGAGAAACAGAAATTCAAGGAGGCACGAATCATTCCTGTCAGGGGAATTTCATAATTCCAAAATGGAAGTCCTGTAAGCCAGTTTCTTGATGAAGCCGTATCTCGATCTACCTGTATTGAGAAAAAAAAAAAACAAGATATCACACGTGATGCCAAATCCCATACTTTCTATGGGGAATTTTGTGTGAAATCAGAAGCCCATTCCCACATCCCACTATTCCATGTCGAATCCCGGTCCGCCTATGGGGTATTCATCCATCGAACTTGTCATCTCATTCCGCCCCAAATGAATCATTCTTGTCATTGAGTACCAAGATAGTCTGACATTAGGGCGAATACCAGGAAGCAATTTATATCACCATCGGCATCTTAACGAGCAACATGCGCCATCTATGGCGTATCTTCCCCCATGCTCTAGACAACGCAACAGGATCATGCAAGGAATAATATGAACAGATGGGAAAGTTTCTCCTTGGTATCGTGTCGCGATGTCCGCAGTTAGAATGACTTTGAAGCCAGACAGAACCGCGAGCGATGTCTGGCTTCTGTCTGTCGAAGAAAAGCTTGCTGACTGACGATACCTGGACGACCTCACCGCCAGAACAGATATGTAGGAGACGTTTGCAGGTGCGTCACTTTCGGCAACGCAGTTTCTTCCACGGAAAGAGCGTTCCCCTTCGTGGCTTTAAAGGCGGACGGCTGTCCGCTTTTCCTCTTTGCTCCTTCGTGGTTAATTCCCCTCGTTGAATACAGGGTAGTTTTCCCCTAACACAATCCATAGCCTCTCTATACTTCGTATTTAAAGCAACATGGGGGCAATGCAGTTGCCCGCCCTGGAGCTTGTGAGATCATTCCAGTGCCCCAGAGCAACTGATTGCGTCTAGGTAGTGCACTTTTTAACTTCATGGTGTGATTGTGCGAATCCTTGAAGTTTTGCAGCCGAAGTTTACCTTGTCTCATACGCCTGCCTCCACGAGCGGGCGGCTGGATATTCCTTATGTTGCGTTTAAAATACAAACTCTTGTTATATGGAAAGGCTATGTCTAATCCTTTGTTAATTAGTCCTTGTTCATTCCTTCCTTCTTTTTACCTTGGGTTAAAGTAAGCTATCTCTTTGATGTCATGGTCGAGCGTTGTAATCCCCATAACGTCCTTATAACACAGAGACCTTGATCTGATTCAGCAGTCAGAGAAAATGGAATACGGGTTAGACGGCTCCGGGGTCAATCTGAAAAAAAGCTCTCGAGCCAGGGTGCTTGAAGTCCCTCGTTGTTCATTAGAACCATTTGTCCAGAGTTCTCGAGTACATGACAAGCTGGAACCAAGTCTGCCACCCGAATTTCCTTGTCATCCGGAAATGTGGTCACTCCTCTCTCTCGCGTTAATCCATTGAAAACTGGCAAATGGCTACGCGAGACTGCCAGCGATGTTATAGAAGCCACAAGATCTGGGATGATTCGATCCCAGAACTTAGAGCAAAGAGTCTCCCAAGAACATCGTCTGCAGCAGACATGTGCTTATTCTAAGTTTCGGTGAACTTCGAGAAAGAATTTAGGATGATATATGGTATTCCCAACGGCACCAAAAGGATTTCCTTGCTTATCTCTCCCGCTACGAAGTGACAAGTTAAGCGCCTCATGAATATCTCCCATGCCTCGATGATGAACGTACATCAGTTCCATCTTCATGTTTTTTTTTTTTGCTCATCCTCAAAGTAGATTCAGAGTCGGCTGACAGTAAATGTCATCGTCGGTTATCAGCATTTCCCAGTAAAGACTCCTATAAGATGCTTCGATTGACAGCATTGGACATACAGCCTGCACTTGCAGAAGTAAAGATCGCTGGGAGACTGAGCTGGGCTCCTGTAAGGAAAGGGTCAAGTACGCAGATCGTGTCATGCTCCATACAGTCATGGGCGTCCGCTGGTTTATTCCCAGGGGGGGGGGGGGGGCAAGGCACAAGAATGGCAGAACAGATGCACACACAAGGGTAATTTATCTTTTGTAAAATGATTATAAAGTACAAGGAATTATACCAGGGTAATTCCATCTCAAATTAGCCAGAGGCTGGAGCATGACCCCCTCCGATTTTGAAGAAAAATTTTCATGTGGTACCCCTCATGACCCAAAGTTAGAATGTAAAATTTTGGTTTTGGGTATGGAACCGTTTTAGCACAATAATTTGTTAAATTTTGTGAAATTAAAAAAAGGTGCACCTCTTCACACTCATGTGGGCCAAAAACTTTCTGACCAAAACGAACGCAGCGAACACCATTGTTCTTCAAAATTTAGACTTTCGAAGTTATTTCATATACTTTTCTCCTCGAGGCGACACTGAATAAAATAAAGCTATGTAAAATTTGCCTATTTTTGGTAGATTCAAAAATGTGCAAAATGTCAACATGTTCATCTAACCTAACATGTTCATCAATGTTTTTGGAATCAGCAGATCTAATGATGTGTATCCCATTTTTGTCCCAACAAATTCCGTTTAAGGAGATGTGATGGCTCGAAATGTTCAAAA